CAAGTTCTTAGCACTGCAATATTTGTCTTTCAAACTTCATGAGAAAATACTGGTTTAAAAGTTAATTGGCCTTCAGTCCTATAAAAAGTTGCTTGCTTAAGCTTATAACAACTGACATTGATATTCTCCCTTGTGAAATTAAATCTATACCCATATTTTCACTTCAGAAGAGCAGCAGTTCAAGTGCAGGACGTTTCTGGCAGATTAGCAATTCCTGGCACCGTTCCCCTTCAATACAGATTATTTTTCAGGCTGACCAAGATGCTACCAAGTATTGTTTCACTGCATTCCTCGTTTCATTCACATGAAAACAGCATTTCCTACCTTGTCACAGCTGGTACCAGCTACTAAACAAGAAACTTCACCTCCAAGACGTTTTGCTGCAGAGATGGTATTTAGTGTGATGGGTGTGAGAGTCTCATTGTTGTGTTCTGCTATGACTAATGTACTCTGAAACCTCTGGAGCAGCGATGCCTTTAAAGAAAGAGAGAGAGAGAGAGAGAGAGAAGAGTTTGATACTTAGCATTTATGTAAAAAACTGTTCCTAAGAGCATCCAATGCTTTACAGAAAGTTATCAATTATACAAACTGTAAACCACTGCTGTCAAACAACACAGGCTAAATCTAGGTAATTTTTATTAAGTAGGCAGAATACATAAGATGGAAAAAAAAAAAAAAGGTACAGACTTGCTTGACGTCAGCATATCTATAACAGGCTGTGTTTAAACTAAAACCTCCACAGGAAAATACTGAACAATATGACGATAAAGATAAACATTTTAATATGAATGTAATTAATCTGAATGTAATTCAAGCCCAGCTCATCAACTTAAGTACCTTAAAGAGTGAAGACTAGACCAGCAAGACTAGACACAGGAAATCAAGGGTAGCAAATAAATATTTACTCATCATTTTTTTGGTGGTGGTGTTTTGGTTTTTTTTTACTATAGGTTTTAGCCAAAGTCCAGCTACCAAACTCACTTTTTTTGAATCAGTTACGTATAAAGGCAAATTGTACGCAGTGGCAGGACGACAACTAAACAGTAAGGGCTCACAACCTGAAAACACACTAATAGAACTGCTGAACAGCATAAGGTTCATTTTTTTCAACTTTCCTTTAAAACATTTGACACTCAACCACTTAGTCTACCACCACAACTTCATGGCCCTTAAATAATAATTTTGACCAATTCGCCATCCACACACAGACTTTAACTTCTAAAGCAAAAACGAAAGGAAAAAAAAAAGCAAAGAATTGCCATGAAACCAAATCAAAATATTCTAATCTATCAGACTCTCCTCTCTAATTTTCAGGTGAATCTGGAGAAAGCATTACTCCTCCAAGACTAATACTAGGGTAGGCAAAGGGTTTGGGGTAGGAACAGGAATATTATTCTTCAAGTCCTTGTTTATCCTACATAAAGCCTAAATCAAGACTTGAGTTATGATCAATGTAATATGGAACACATGGAATACCAAACATATTCACTATTATGACCAAGGCACGAATACTAACACAATGCTAGAGACTGTGCAGTCAAATGCTACTTTTTAAAACATATATCCTGACCCCATCTCCTCCCACGCCAAATAGGCACTTACTACTTAAACTAGAAAAAAAAAAAAACATCGGAAAATCTGAGAGGCTAAAATTTGGATATGGACTTCAACATGCTAAACTTCACACAGCGAAAGCAAATCCCAAGGACTTCCCTGAAGCTAATCACAGTGTAAAAATGTAAATACAAAGTTAAGTTTTTGCAGAATCAGGACCATAATTTGTCATTTTGATTAAAACAGTAAGGATTCTTGTAAAAGTGTTCTGCATTTCATCTTTTATGCTTAAGGTTACTTGTTATGATTAAAGATTCTAAGATCATTTGAAGCCTATTGCCAGTAACAAAATATTTATTGCCAATATAGATCAGACACCATATTTTTGATTATGTTTCATACATCATTTGCAATAAAAGTTATGATATTTTAGTCACCGTTTGAAGAATAAATCCATGCTTTTGTGGCAAAAAGCCCACTTTTCCAATGATTTACAGTCATGTCACAGGGTAAAGTGGACCATGCTCCTGAAAGATTCTGAAGTCTTCTAATTTCCAAAGGGAGCCACAGACTCTTTAAAGATTTCTTTAATGCAAGCCTGGCTTGGCTCTAAGAAGCATGCATTTTAAACACACACTTAATTCTGACTATATTATGATCTTTTCCCTAAATAAGAACTGCACCACCAGAAGAGCTCTATATCATTCTGTCAAACGATTCGAGAATAAACTGAGAAATATATTTTTTAGCCAAGAAGAATAGGAGCAAGGGATGTTGCTTGAGCAGACTCAATATTACGGCACTAACTACGTATTATTTCTAAACTGATAACCCCGCATTTTGGATTTGTGGGAACTGCACACTGGAAGGTCACTTTATCTCTACATGCATGACATTTCTGAATACAAAGACAAGACCAAGCCACGTTCTAGATCTTGGGTAAAAATCCTGGATGACAAATAAGATTCCTACATGAATCTGCAGTAAAACCAGAAGGTAATTCATCCAGTCGCATACAATGCTGAAAACTGAGAATCTGTAATGAGTCAATGAAGAGGACAGGTAGTTATTTTGATGAAGTAACTTGTCTAGCTGCATGTGTGCAAGAACAGCCCACTGACATAACTTCTCCACCTGTACTTGGGTGGTACGTCTAGTTTCAAGCCTAGATAAAATAGGAAGGTTGAGTATATACCTAACCAGCTGGCAGCAAGGATAAAAAGCATAAGAAATAAGACACAAAGAACAACCAAACTATTGAAAACAATGCCTTGAGAGAGAACAGCACTTGGCACTTGTGTCACAGAAGGCTCCTGGTGAAAACCCAGCTCTCAATTACAGTTAAACATCCTGTAAACTCGGGAAATGGAGTGGCTTCTCAAGCATGCCAGTATATTACGAACACATCTCCCAGCAACCAGTGGAACTGGAAATTTATCTCACCCAGGTTGAGATACAAATCGAAGCTAGGCACCTATGTTCCCTCTACAGCAGAAACATCTACATTTCCTCTCTGGTGGAAACTCCAGACAGTGATTCAGTTTATACTAAAATAAACATCTATGAAGGAAAACCGTCTGGAGTTTCCAACTCCCCTCCTCTCCTCCCCTCCCTCCCCAGCATTTACTGTAGAGAAAACCTGGCCTCTCACTTCCAGATGTCTAAAAGCTGGTTAAGATTAACCTAGACATGCCAGATATATCAATTAAGCCACTCACAAAGTACCAACGGATTCGCTGAAGCTATCTTCTAAAGTTTCCCCATAGCATCTTTTTGTTCCCCACTTGAGAAACTCAGCAATGTTTTCCAAGCAGCGTGTGAAAAATTTAAGCATAGCATCAGAATTTCTAGACTTTAGACTAAACAACTCAGACTACTCACTGCTACCGTTCCATTCAAACGTTACAAAATCTAGACATGCGCTGTACACGTGCACAGATGTACCACACACGAAGCCAGCATCCCATACATCCAAAATAATCATTCCGTTTGTGCAGATGATCTGCTCTTCACAGCAACGCTGATGCAAACTCAACGTGTGTTGGTCTTTCAGCACATAGACAGGTCACCTGAACAGTACACAAGCAAGCCCAGCACCTCTTAAACATGGATTTGCTGCTTATATGCTACAAAACATATAGATCAACAGACAAAAGTGTTGCAAATCTTTGCTTGGTGAGACTGGTGAGCAGACAGGTGTCAACGGCCTCCGCGGTCGACAGCTAACGGCCTGCAGTCTGCTCTACGGGTGCCCACTGTAAAGCAGCAACTATGAGATTAGCTCTAGAAGTAACACACGTGGCAGACATAGGAACAAAAGATGGGACAGCCAAAAAGTCTTTCCAGAAATGCAGAAGGTCCAGCAGAAGTGTATTGTACATGGCCCCACACTCCAAATATGTAAGAATATAAAACAGGCTGTTGGAAACTCCACCCAGGAAACTGAAGTCTGCCTCCCAACCCCTTCAGAGGAACCACTGGATGTTTTGGGAACTAAACCAAAATAGAAATTCACAAGGCAAAAGCACCTAACAACTGGATCCACAAAGGTTTTCTTAGCTGCAAAAGCAAACTGGCCAGATTTTTAAGACTGCTTAACAGGAATTATGTATCTCATGGAAACCCATTACCACTGGGAAAAATTCCCAAGAAATTACTCCAGAAACTACGAATCGGGGTATTACTAAAGATAATGGCTACATTCTTATACAACCAAACAATGCCTAATTCTGTTAATAGACAGTCTTGTAGCTGCAAAGCTTAGGAAAAAAAAAGTACCCGAGAAGCTCAGGGAGAGGAGGGAGCTCTAGCAATAAAGCTTATACTTCTCCTAGAACCTCTGTAGAGATCTGGCTACAGAAGAGGTCTAAGTAACAGCTATTTAACTCCAGGAAACGCTAGCTAGAAAAACAACACTAAAGGCACCTGAACTGAAAAGCAGCTATAACTGCAGCAAAGAACAAAATAAATAAGAAAACACAAAAATATTTATGAATCACAATAAAGACTAAAGACTTAAAATTAAAAAGGAATTGAAGCAGCAACAGAAAGATGTAATACAGAAGAAACTTTTCCAGATATATCCCATGCAAATCATTAACAAAAATCAAAGCAACAAAGCTGTTTTGAGATAGACAACACTACTGAAATTGAACTCAAGACAAATGAATACATTTTAAAAGTTAGTAATCCGAGCTTATCGATGACAATTGAAGGATATATACAAAGTATTCCCTAAGACTAGAAACGGAGCCCAGTACCTTCTGAGTAAGGTGTGTTTCAGGCTATTAAACCTATTTATCTGAAGCATCTCAGGCTAAAAAAAAAAAAAACCAAAAAAGAAACCCTCACATGCATCATGAGATATATATGACTGAAATAAAATCCACCATTGTCAGAAACACCAGGAAATTGAAGCTCTGAACAAATCAACAGGAATGCAAAGACTCGACAGCTGTGAAAGCTGGGTCCCTCCAAAAGACTGTAAAGATAAAATAAGAGTGCCTTCTCAATATCACTAAAAATTAAGCAAATTACATTTCATTTTATTCAAAACCTGCTATATGGCAAAATACTATACTGCAAAGTGAGAAAGAAAACCTGAGATTTAAGACTGCTTTCACCTGAGGACCCCAACAGCTTCATGAGAACATGCCTATTATTTTGTTTAAGCCTACTCCAAAGCACCTCTTGCCTCCAAAAAAAACACACTGTAGAGGCAAATGCAACTTTTACTCTATTTGGACCTTTAAAAGAACAGCAGAACCCTGAAATACGATACAAAGCAAAACAGTTTTCTTAAGAAAAGAAACAATGTCTTTCATTCTTTCACTCTACTGCTGGAGTTTTTTCAAGGGAGTGTGGAGGTAGAAGTGAGGGAGACCAAGAGACTTGTTTATGACTCGAAACAGTCAAGACTA